ACACGGTCACTAGTTTTTCTTCCCTCTGCTCTCAAGGTTGAACTCTTATTGGTTGTTAACGACTTTTACCAAATTGTGGATTCAGTGTTGTCAAGGTCATTTAGAAATGTATATATTTAGCATCACTGTCAACTGCTTTGACTGTCGGTGAGACAGTATAAGCTCTCTGTCAACGGTCTGTCTTCTTTTCTTGTCTTCGCGCGTCGGTGATATTGTTGTTATGGTGGTTGACCTTCTGGTTTGCGTTGGAGTCAGTTCATTTGCAAGTTAGGTTCGTGTCGTTCGTAGACTGTTAGGTTATGTTACCGCTCATAGCACTGTAAAACTATTTAAACATAGTTTATATAGCTATATCACCTCTCCATCTTACATGATACTGGTGGCGGTCAATTTTACAGGTAACTGGGATAGTTGTCGAAGGATTCCTATTTCACCTGTTCGGTTTCAGTCCGCTTAAAAAAGATTCACTCATCTACCTCTTACTCTATGTAACTAAGTTTGTCTTCTGTTATTGTCACTGTATCCCCGGAAAAGAGATATACACTTCATAGTGAATCATGTGTGTATGCAAGTCACTAAGTCACGAATACAATTTAGATCAGAGGGTAAAATATACCTAAATCAGGGTTACACCAATCACTCAAAAAGTGAGTTTCCAGTGGATTGTAAGCTGCAGTAGTTCATGACAGGTAATCTTCGCTTATGCTACAGGTATCCTTATTTCACTGTGTTGCCAGCTAACGGTTTTTAAGTAGGTAAAAAGTAAAAAAATACATTTGTAAAATCCTAATGAACCAGTTTTTAAGGTAATGATGGTCATGGATGGACATCAGTTGGAGAAGCATTGGAAGCCTAGGAGCACTGGATAACTGTTTCGTCATGGTATGGGGCACCTCAACAGTACACAGAAGTAGGAAACTGTTGACCAGTGAACTCTGACCCATTAGGTGAATAGTCAGTGCGTTTGCCATGGAGACTGAACGTTTTGAGTTCGATCCCTAGCTGGGTAGTGAGTATGTACTGCTGAGGAGTCCCATACTAGGACGAGACACCTATCCAGTGCTCCCAGACGCTCAATGCTTTTCCAACTGATGTCAATTCGCGATGAATACTACCTTTAAAATCAAATCCCCACTAACCTCAAAATAATCAACTAATTACCAGGTTATTGAATACTATCGGCGCAAAGTGTTTGCTTGAACATCTACCATAGCGTAGAGAAGGAATGAAGTTTTCCGTTTAAACAGTATTGTCCTGGTGTGCCGAACCACCACGTTGTCACTCCATCAACATACCTTTCTAGCGCTTTCTCCTTAGTCGTAATTCCAAAGAATCTTTCCAGTAATGTTTTGTAGTGTTTGCTATTATGGCTCATCGCGATGCTTTTGAAGAGATCTTGTTAAGGTGTCTCAGGCTTTGTAAGGTTCCATATGTTCCATAGGTTTTGATATGGACTGTTTCCTTGGGGAACATTGTCCTAAAAGGTTATCAGCTTCTCTAGACAATATTGCCAGAAATTCGCTGTCATATCACCCCGCTGATGTCTGTTAAACTTCCAGAGTCAGAAATAAACCGATGAATAAAACACCATTTCGGTTTATGAAGACTTATACCATTCACTTGCACAACTAGAGTCTGTATGCTCAAAAGGGGATGGTAATCACTTCTAGCTCTACATGGTTGCCCCAACCCAATGCTACCTTTACTAACTCCTATGTCTTAATCATTCACTTTCTTCCGTAAGATATGCTCCAATCAGAATCTTTCACTGATTTATTTCAAAGTCATCTTAACTGTGCCAGTGGTTGACAACATTCTTGTACTTATTTCGAAATTCATCATTTCAGTATACTACCACTTAGAAGAAGGGCTACCTCGTCAAACTCCCAAAGAAAGGAGACTTAAGTCATTGCAAGAACAAGAAGATGCACGGATTCATGCTCCTGTCCACCCACACCAAAATATTAAACCACATCATCTTGAACAGACTAAAAGATGCACTGTATTCAAAATTACGACCGAAACAGGCTGACTGGTTGGCTGGCTGACTTCAAGAAAAACAAATCATTCACAATCAAATTACAACGCCACGCTACACATCATCATCATAGAACAGAGTATAGAATAGCAGTCAACTGAATATTTACCTCAATTTCATCCACTTTGAAAACGCCTTCGACAGCATTGACCGAGAAGTAAATTGGCAGACAGCTGCTTCAACACTACGGTTTTAGTGCCACAAACCCTTATCAACCTCATTGAACAGCAACTACATGTTATGTGATGAGGCTACATGCCAATTGATTGAGAACACAATGGAAAGGTGAGTGATGTGTTTGAAGTGAAGACAGTGGACAGGAAGGAGTAGGACAAGTTTGCTGCCTACTATCACCGATCACTTTCCTGATTGTGGTCGACTGTACTGGACTGTACTTGACTGGACCATGCAACAGACAACTGTGAGTTGATGTGAAGAGATGGGTACACGCTGTTTGACTGATGGGAAGAGAAGAGTCTAGAATGTTTGGATTTCGCCAATGATGATGATTTATATCTAATGTCTTGTTGCACAAACTCGACAACCTACAGGTGAAAACTAACAAGTTTATAGAAGAGGTAAGGCAGCGAAGACAGGACTTTAGGTGAAGGCGGAGAAGAGAGAGGTGGTGAAGATACCTAACCAACACTACCACCAACAAGCACCAGTCATCATCAACAGGAGAAATCTAAAGGAAGTAGTCTCTTTCATCTACCTAGGCAACATCGTTTCAACTACAGGCAGTTGCACAGGCATAAATGAGGGATGTCAAAGCCAACCAGGATTGGAAAGACAGCAACACAGGCATTCCTTCATTAACCTGAAATCAGTGTGAAGATCTACTGCACTTCATTCCACTGCATTCAGCATAAAGCGTGAACAACACTGATGTCAGTCAAGTAAGTCAGTGCTTCCATGTGATGATTGGGAGACTTGGCGCATCACGAAAAGCATTTCCAACAAACTGCAGACATCATACATGAACAGCAGCCATCTACGCTCACTCGATACAGAAGATGAGATGAGATGAGATGTCTAGAATAATAAGAATAAGCAGGAGGGAAGTGACTCTGGCTGGCTGGCTGGCTGGCTGACTGGCTGGCTAGCTGGCTGGCTGGCTGGCTGGCTGGCTGGCTGGCTGGCTGGCTGGCTGGCTGGCTGGCTGGCTGGCTGGCTGGCTGGCTGGCTGGCTGGCTGGCTGGCTGGCTGGCTGGCTGGCTGGCTGGCTGGCTGGCTGGCTGGCTGGCTGGCTGGCTGGCTGACAACGAACCAACAAACAACCATCTCACAACAAATATACAGTAGAAGAAAGTGGAGATGGATTGCATTGTACATTCACTGAGAAAGCCGACTCAGGACATCACGTGTCAGGCCAGACCAGGCCGTCGGGTGGAATCCACATGGGAAACGACGAGTTGGGCGTCCGAGATGAGGGTGAGATGGAGTAGATGGTATGAGGAGGGAATGAAAGCTAGTGGGGAGTGGTGGAGTGAGGTTCAAAAGACTGGAGAGAACCGAGTGAAATGGAGACATGCTACTGAGGCGGTATGTCCCATTAGGAACCCAATGGACAAATAATAATAATAAATGATAAAAACCTGATCAGATCTTTTGATATGGCATATTATTTTCATACCTGCTGAACAGAATCATTATTTGTTGTAATCTTGGTGATGTATTTTTGTCAACTTTAAGATTCCTTGATGAATACCGCCCTCAAATCAATAAATCCCCATAAACCTCTGTACTCATTAATGACTCGCTTTGAGATAAGACTTCTAATTAGAAGTCGAAACCTGTGGGCTAAACGAAGTTGAATCTACGGACGAACACTTTATGATACTTGACTGTGTGTCATGAACTGACAGAAGTAAGAAAGTGTGGATCATTGGGGCTAGACCCAGTGGTTCAATTGTAGTGTAATCATCGTGATTACTGAAGAGGCTGGATTCTATCCTGGTGAGGTCTTCGTTGCGCACTGTTGACAAGTCTCGTAGTAGAATACAAAAGTTATTCAGTACTCCTGTGCTTTCAGTGATTTCCCATGTAGTCAGTGTTTTGTGAATATCAACGTGGCACTCAAGTCTACCTATCTATTGTTTAAAACAAATAATGAAATAATGCAAACTATGGTGTCAAGAAGCGCTCACTTTTTTGTAACAGGCTGCCAATGAAGTGGACTTCACATTCTGCATCGAATTAACTCAAAATAGCCTTTGCTTATCTATCAACTTACCCCATTCATTCATCTTTGTGATTGCATTACATCCTTGTACAAAAAACTTCATCGATTTTCTAGTTAGCTTATAGTTTATCGAAGTCTGAGTGGAGTTACAAGTGTGTTCGCTCTCAGAGTTCATCATACCTGTTTAAATGAAATCATGAATACACTTTATTAGATAGTCAGTGTCATAGTGCACACCTATGGACATGTGTTTAGTGTTTATGTATTCAAATTTCAATACCTGATAAATGCTACTCATTGCAGGAAAACGAAATGGTAGGTTTAAGATAAGAAACTTTAATTATCAAACTAATGCTGAGATAACTTTGAACACACACACACACACATTATTATTACAAAAGTGACAAGCAAACGGATGAGTAGGTTTGTGCACTTACACTAGATTTATTCTCCCAGCATACTGACTGCTTAGATAACTTAACCCAGTGCAGCACAACAAAAAAATCACTGACATATGAATACATACCTAGTAGACCAAATCAACCGTTATCCATCCCACTTTACTCTTGTATATCCTTCATCCAATCAAACCAATATCATCAAAGGGTGAAAACACTTGAATAAAACAAATTTTTAATAGAATTTATTTAATCTCATTCCTCTTAACTGATGAACAGACAATTTATTTATTAGCAGTGCCTATTGGAGGTTGGTAAAAATGTGGATACAATAAAAATTTCCTATAGAAAAATTCTTTTTTACTGTTTTCACGTATACCTATGACACCTGCATTCATACACAAGTTGTACGTCTATCCACCTATGATAACTTTCACATATGCATACAATCTATCCATTCGTCTGTAAAGGAATACAGAGTGTATTATAAGTGAACGAAAAGATTTTGAAGGACAAAATAATCATCAAAAGGCGTAGAATAATTTAGTTGAAAATGCTGAGTAGTAATCATTACATCGAATCAACTAAGTGAAATGTTTGTTCCCCAGTTTGTGCATGTGTGTGTGTGTGCGCGAATTTCTAACGTCGATCAACCTAAAATAATAGTAATGACAACTGTGGATTACAGACTTTCAGTGAAGTAATGCTCATACATCGAAGATGGATAGACTCTGTACACTTATTTAAACAGTTTATCTAAATAGCCAAGAGTACGCTGAGAATTCCAAATTGTACCACAAATTGTTTGGAATAAAGTGAATTATTAATAATATTCTTATTAAAAAATTGTGAATAATCTATCCAGGTGTCAATTTCATTAATACTTTCTATTTATCTTAGCAAATTTCTAATTCTGATTGAAAATTACCTGAAAAAATTATGACAACAATATAATCCTGATGATTTTGAATAAAATAAAACAAAAACAAACAGCCAATTCTATGTTCAATCTAAATAATTACTCAATGAACTTTCTAATTTCTAGACTACTCCTTCCCATCTTTTTAATAAGCATTGACAAAATCGTTATCCTGACGGCTGATGAAGGTTATATCACTATGAATCGAAACGTCAATAATAATAATAATAATAACAGAGATTATAATAATAAGTGTAGTATAGTTGAAGAAATACTTATCAATACATTTGTATGTGATTTAAACTTTTTATTTGACAGTTATACACCAAAAAATGTATCAACTATTTTGAAAGATCAACTCATATTGAATATATTGAATGAAAATCGAAATTTTCAAATTATTGATAATTATAAATTAGTGACAAGAGGACGTATTGATCGAGAACAATATGTCTATGAAAAATTATGTCAAAATATAAATGGAAATGATGATAATTTAGTTGAGGATTATTTACTTATCCAAGGTAAGTTGATCGTTGTACACGCGTATATCCACTGTATCCGAGTACATATCCATACTACTTCCTTTTTTTAATAGTAATAATAATGATAATAGCTTTATTCCATACAGTATGGAATTCTCAGCACTTAATATATCAACAAAATCACTCTCAGAACAATATTTCCAAGTATATCAATAAATAGTAATAACTACTAGCCGTTGTACAAGAAGTGCCTATCGTTCCTCCGTGGCATTGTGGACAACGCCTTGGCGTTTCAAGCGATGGCTACGGGGTCTGAGTCCCAATGGGAGAAACATCACTCACTGCGGTGCAGGTATATCCAGCTGACGAGTCCCAAATAGGACGAAACGTGTATCCTGGATTCTTCTACTAGCCACAACCAACCAATTTATCATAATATTTCCAAACAAAATAATTATTACATATGAATAATGTTAATAATAATAATAATAAAATTGTTTAAGGCAATAGTGTGAAACAGTCAGCTGGTGTTTGATTAGCGTCCGGTCTAGAAAGGAGAATGAACAAGAAATCGAGCATAATTCTCGTGGTGACGGTTCATTCTGGTTAGTATTCGACAGATAGAAGAATGATGTGTTTTCGTGAGCTGAAAAGTCCACTTCCATTTAATATGATATTTTTTTCCTTCACTTTGTTATGAATTAGAGAAACAGCTAGTTGAAAACATTTAAAAAATGTGCTGGATATATTTAAATGATTAAAACAAATTGAAGGGGAAGAATTTCATGTTTGCTGGCCTAAGATATAAACAGGCCACCTATTCATTTTTAATCATACCTGTAAAATTATAGTCTATTTTTCAAATAATGGATAGTTGAGGTCAACAGTAGAAGGGAAATTTCCTGCTTTTGGATCAATAGTCACAGTATCCAAAGCATCTTTGAAGTACTTTTGAATCATGGAAGATATCTTCTTGAAATTAAACAAATGGTTATTTCTTCGATAAAGGCTAACATTAGGAATGTAGGACGGTCATTTTATTCAGTTTAGGACTGTTTAGACAGATTGTCTCTGGTGTTGGTTACGGGACTCGAACTCTGTTGGTGCCCTGAGCAACTGTCCTGAATTCCACAGAAAGATACAAGGAGAGGAATAACACCAAAATGAAAAATTCAAGTAAACATTGGTTCATTTGTCCAAGTAGTTTATAGTGGTTCAGCAGACAACAAGTTTCCTTACAGGTGTGAACTTCAGGCACATGATAGTCGGGTGACAAACGCCATAGGATAGCAACCTAACACTTGGAATGTTCAATTAATCTTAAATTTACCTTGAAAATTCTTCAGTAATTCACGTTCACTTACTTTCTACCTTTTGTTTAGTGTTTTCTTTGGGAGTTTTTTCTGTATTTTTCTGCTTATGAATTCATCTTGTTGAAGTAGCTTCCCAGTCAATTAACTGATCAGTATAGAAGTCTACATAAATGTCAGTTTTAGTCAATACTGTGAACAGTATTCTTAAACGAACTGATTTACCCCTCGAATAAATAGATACTCTTAGACTGGATTTCAAACATCAGTATGTCCTGGTTAAATTTAGTCCAGTAACCTATGAGATTGTAGTCTGAGGTTTTTATTGCATCTCTATTGCTTAAAAAAACGAAATATATATGGTCTTGGTTGTATTGTGTTCTCTGAGCTGGGTTGTTTAATCGTGAAGCTTTCATTTTTTTCTGGACGATGTCATCAGCACAAAACTTCAGGATGAAGTGTAGGTGATAACCTGATATCAAATACATCTTGGGAGCAATTCACTTATACAGGGGATTGTATCACGTGATTGAAAGTGATTGTGAAATTAAATGACTCTAAAGATCACTCTAATAACTACTGAAATAAACAATTACGTTCTTTTATTTCATAAAAATCTACTGTCCAACAGAAAATACCAAAATCTGATTGATTACTTCAGCAGTTGGTTAGGGTGGTCATTAGAGTCACTCTACAGAATACGGGTGACTCTCAAGACCACCCAAACAACTACTGAGATGACCAATTAGAGTTATTCACTTTATGAAAAACTACCCTTTCATCTGAAATACAAAAGAAACCCAACTGGTTACTTAAATCGCTACTAGAGTGGCCTTTAAAGTCGCACCGAATTGTACCCTCAACATTGTCGCGTAACTTTTAGCCTTCTGTACACCTCAGCATCTGAGTATAGATCACCTGGCTTTGCTACTTCATGCCTATTAGTCAGTGAATGGACTTGCTACAAAGTAAGATATTTGCAACCGTTTAACTAGTAGTCTTTCTCCCGCTTCGATTAAATTTACATCTAACGGGCGACTTTAAAGACCACCCCAGAGACTCCTTAAATAACCAGTCAGGTTTCAGCATTGTATCTGAAACAGGTGTTTCTCTTAAAGTAAAGTAACGCTATTGGTTATCTCAGCAAGTGTTAGGATGCCCGCTGAAGTCATTCCATGTAACAAGTTTATACTGTTGAATAACATGTCCACAACACACAATAAACCAAAAATATACAACAAAATCGTTTTAGAGCGCAAGATGATGGAACCTGTTTTCAGTAAAAAACGCCATGAATCGATAATCAATGGGTGTTTTGAAAGCTTGTAGGAGTAACAATCCAGAATGACTTCTCAGTAAACCGTCCTTGAAAATAAATACAATAATCGATAAAAATGAACTCAGTTGAACCATCATATCTTCGCTACTTTCGTCCTCTGTAACAGAATAACTGTTAAGGTTGGTTTCCTAACTTTTTGACCCTTCACAGTAAGATATATCCATCATCTTCAGTGTACGTTGATACTTTGAAGACTGAATGTGAAATACATCTCTAACTGCTCCACTTAAGTGGTGTGAGCTTGAACTTCACTATGAGCACCAGTTTCCTCAATGTTAACACAGTTGGAACTTCAGTTTTCGTTAAACTATCCAGCAACTGTTACAGTGCATTGTGACGTGGAACCATTTGGTCAGCAATTACAACTTTATGATGAGATATTGGTCACTGATAAATGACTAGTTTACCACAAAATCAATTCGTCAATGATGGATAGTGGTTAGTAATAAAATCTAAAATGCTTGTTTCGTCCTATTTTGGACTGTTCAGCTCCCAGTGAGCAATGTTGTTCCCACTCGAATTCGGAACTGATCACTCCAAACGCCAGAGCGTTGTGCACTGGGCCGCCGAGTCAACATAACCACTTCTTGTGAGACGGGATAATACAAGCAACAACATTAGGAAGGGGTTATTGTGACTCAGTGGCCTAGTGAATAACTCTGTGGTATTTGAAACGATCAGTCCCAAGTTCGAGTCCCGGTGGGAATAAAATTGTTCACTGGGAGGCAGGTACATTCTACTGATGAGTCTGAAATAGGACGAAACGTGAATCCTGCATTCCACTGCTAGCCACTGTCCATCATTAATAAATAATTCAAACACAGGCAATATCGAGGCATCAGCTCAGGAGCCCATAAGCCAATAGAGACCGATCAATTCGGTCAACTCAACAACGGGATAGTATAAACAATAACATTAAAATTTTCCTTCCTAAAAATATTTAGCGACACTTCAACCAACTGTTTACCATTTTCTTCACAGAATAATGTGCCTTAAAATAATTAATATTTTGGCGTAAATTATGCATGTTTAAGACACATTGAAGTTAAACATAGTCAGAATCGCTGTTTGATGTGAGTCAAAGATTCTTCTTCAGTAGAAAAGTGTGATGCTGCCAACTTTGATTGACCTAATAACCCACAGACTTTGTTCGACATACATCATCCTTGAAACACTGAGGTCAGTTACCAGTATTCACATTTGAAACATTAGACCGTAATTATCAATACTCAGCAATCCATTTCAAGTCTGTTATTCATAGTACAGTAGAGTACTACACCAGCATGAAATATCCACCCACTAACTTCATTATCATTATCATCAGCTCATCTGTTGTCTTTAGTTGTCAGTAAAGCTTTCAGAGTTGAGTAATTCCGTCTAGAATCTAGATATATCAAAAAAATCTGAACCACTTCATCACGACGAAAATATTTTTCTTATTCCTAAGATAAAGGATCAAGTCATTTTACAGGTTTTCTTGCTTTCATTATCCGAAGTCTCTCTCTAACAGACAAATTAGCATACCAATAACCTATTGATGAGGATTTTCAAAGTTTTGTTCACTTGAACGTGAAAAAAGGGATTATCTAGACATACTAAGTGAAACAGAAGTTAATGAGGTGGTATATGGGAGGTGTTGATGGAAGGAGGATGATGTTAAGAAGAATACTGAGTATAAAATGACAGTATAAAGAGGTGTTGTAACAGTCTAAGTAGGTCAAAGCTTAGAAAAAGACAACAGGATTGCGTAACACTCTACGACGAAGCTAATGGATAAGCAACAGGTGAATATGAAGATAGAGAAAGCATGAAAATGGTAAAAAACAAAGATAAACAAGAGGGGAATAATTTGATTTTAAAGTTTCTAAAGCTATTCATTAAGTCTTCCCTGAACAAAGTAGGAATGAAGGTTTCATAAATTGTTATTGAATGCAAAGGTCAGGGTTGCTTCTTGGAATTCCTACAGCCACAGCTATAAGTAAGAGTTGGGTTCCAACTCCATTACAGTGGTTAGTAACAATTGACCCCACATAGGAATTATGTTGTATCTCCTTCCCACCGAATTCATAATTAACATTTTGAAGTCAGGAATTGAAATATTCAGAGAAAAGGACTCTATTCAACTAGTTTATTCTCAAGCTATACCTCCGTGTATATATATGGAAATTTTATGTTTAAGGCAGTATTTATCATAGACTGGCATCAGTTTGGGAGTCATTGAAAACCAAGGGGTATTGGACAGTAATTTCGCCCTAGTATGGGGCTCCTCAGCGGCACGCACCCAGGAGCTCGTCCGGGATCGAACTGATCACTATCAGGTTTCATGGCGAACGCTTTAACCACTCAGCCACTGGGTTGCAGTTCAGTGGTCGACAGTTTCCTACTTCTTT